GGGGGGGGGGGGGAGAGGTTGGTGTTGATGAAACCCCTCCCTAGAGTTATTGATAAGTTGGGTGTATCAAAAAGATTTTACCTTTAGTGCAAAGCCTTTGATCTTTCCTACAAAATGAGGTGTATTTTATCGGTGGTGGCGCTGCTGGAGGAAAGTGACTTCACCAAACATGATCGCCATCTTGGATTTTACCAAGAATTAGAAATCACGTAAAAACGTCCAGAATTCAGTGGTAATTTTTTTGTGCTTGACGTGTAGAATAACACATAAATAAGTAATTCGCTTCATTTTACCAACAAGATTTATTTTTAACGTTGAAAGAAGTTGAAAAACATTTATTTTCACTCAAAAATGGCTAGACCACCTGCTACTTATGACGTCATATCTTGTAACCATAATAACTGGTCATCAGTAAACGTTTTTCAAAATGCTCGTGAGGGATAAATGAAAGCTACTGAAAACTTTTGGTGCTAATGTTTATTATCTAGGAAAAAGACTCAGAAAAACCTTAGAGGGGGGTGACATCTGACTTTCCCCCTCCAATTGTATGTCCGTGGAACTTTCGCCGGCAAGCGCAGTTTAAAGCTGCTCGTGCTGATTAATATCAAGCCGTATTTAAAACGAATTCAGTGTAATGACAAATTTGGGGAAAATGGCCGGGCTGTTGACGGTAAAATTTGAGACCCTCTTAGGAGGGGGGGGGAGGGTACGTGTGTCCCTGCCCTGAATTTTAGATATGATCGTTTCGCGCGTTTTGAGGAGTAGGCCCAACCTCGTCCCCAGGGCGCTTTTCCTTGGCTTTGAAACCAGGGCAAAGCGCCCTGGGAACGAGGTTGGAGTAAGCCATGCCCCTGTTGCTATTTAACCCATCTTTATGTCGTTTGTGGCCATTTCATCGAGTCTTATGTCGCTGTTTCAAGGCCATGTCCCTTGTCGGAATTTTACCCTAACAGGGCCTTTAACCCTAAAGGTCCCAAGAGTGACCAACATCAATTTTCTCCTAACAACATCAGCAGATCATCAAGAGTAAAGGTTCTGAGAATTACTAAATTGATTACCAAAGGGAGAATGCCTTGATTTTAAACCAAATTCTCTCAACTATTCTTAAAAGAAATGTATGGAGAGCAGTCCGGAGAATTTGTTATATGTGGATCTTGGGGCTTCAGAAGGGTTGAAAACCCGAACGTAAATGCATTTCATCGTATTTAACTTAAGACGATCAACGGGACTAAAGTTATAACATACCAATGAATTCAAAATCGCTTTTTACTGCTTTGCTGACTATGTAAGCAGTAAAATTTGTTGAAAGTATAATATTTGCAGTCATACTTTTAATGTAGTAGCTCTAGCCTCTGTCAGTGTTCTGTCATCTAGTACGTTGAGAAAAATAGGAACCTTTGTAAGTGTTATGTATTTTTAGCTGCTTAATCCCGGCGGCTAAACTAAATAGCTTTTCTTGATTTTGCTACATATATCGTTGGTTTTCGAAGTTTAGAAACTAAAAAAAGCCTATGAAAGGTTAATTACGATATGAGGTGTTTAAAAGTAGGAGAACCCCAAGAAGGCCAGCAAAATAGACATTCCTGTAAGTGCACCGTTGATCGTATTACGTGGGCCAGAGTTACAGTTGTCACCAGTGCAACATTGGTTTGAAGTGCCGAATGACCATCCTCCCTGTGACGAAGGACAGGAGGGATAATCTGACGGGTCGCATTCCTCGCCTTTGGTTCCACATCTCTTGTAGAAGACAGTTTTCGTGACTTCCCCTGCAGAACATGTTAACGTGCCAGTAACACAATTCGCTGTTTCCGATGGGCAATCTTCTTTTGTTGACTTTAAATTACAGTTTTCCAAGGAATCCTCACTTGTACAAGTATAACAGCTCAGGCAGTTAACTAAAAAAAGGATAACCCTCGTAAGTAATAAATTAAAATATGAAAAATTTCTTTCCGAACTAGCCAGAGGCATTACGTAGAAAAACTTTATAAAATGACTTTCACGCGAGACGTGCAAGAGAAGAACATTCGCCAGTTGTTTTTTTACGGGAATGTGAGGCAACTCAGACAAACTACTTGAAAAAACCTTGACTTAGTTTCATTGGATGTGCAAAAGAAGATTTAGCAAGAGCAACAGAACGTCAAATCCTCCGTAATTGTGGTGGTGGAAGTGGTAATGGTGAAGGGCGAAAGACAAAAGAAATGTGGTGGTAGTGAAGGAGGTAAGACAATAAAAATGTAGTAGTGGTGGTTGTGGAGGGAGACAATAAAATTGTTTTGGTCGTGGTGGTGGTGAAGGGAAGACGATGTAATTATGATGGGACGATTATAGAAAAACAGTGGTGGTGGAAGTGGTAAGGGTAGAGGGCGAAAGACAGAAAAGTGGTTGTGTTGGTGGCGAAGGGAGACAATAGAATTATTGTGGCTATGGTGGTGGTAGAGGAGGTTGTGGTAGTGGAGGAGGAGGAGGGAAGACGATAGAAATGTGGTAGTGGTTGTGGTAGAGGAAAGACAATAAAAATGTGGTTAGTGGTGTGGTGGTAGTGGAGGAGGTAAAACAACAGAAATGTGGTAGTGGAGGTGGGGCAGGGAGACAATAGAAATGTGATGTCGGTGGTGGTAGAGGATAGACAATAGAAATATGGTAGTAATGGTGCAGGAGTGAAAGCGATAGAAATGTGGTATTGAAAAAGAGGCAATAGAAATGTGCTGGTTTTTGAAAGTGGTAGCTTTTCCGGTCTTGGTATATTCTACATTTGCATACCTCCTGTAAAACAACTAGTTTTGCCTTCCCTCAAATTTTGCATATTAATTATTGTCTTCTTCAAATAAAGTGTATTATGAGAGATTTGCAAATGCTGTGAATTCGCTAAGTTAGGTCACTTACCAATTTGTAAGAAAATCACCGCGAAGACTGCAATGGTAACGAATACATAAAAACACTTGGCGGCCATCGTTTGTTTCTCCACACGTCTTAATATTAGATTAAAACTGATCGGGACGACAGCACTTTCTGAAGCTACTCTATTTTCTCTGGAATATCAAAAATAGAAACGACTTCATTACGTGACCCCGGCACCAGATCAATAGGTTTTCGACGCCATCTTGACGAGTCGGCAAACGTGTGAGAAATTACAGTGTTTGTATGAGAATCTAATGTCGAATAATTTCCGTAAAACGGCTGTTCTGAAAAAAATATCAATTGTAAACTAAAGCTACAAAGCAAAGGATTGTCCTAAAAAAAATTTGGAGGCGTACCTGTGCTTAAATTTCTCCAGAGGCTTGCTTTAGATTTTCCATATATTTGTCTGTAATTTTCCCGGGACTTTCTTACAGACAAATGTATAGAAAATTTTAAAAAGTGGTTCTAGGTCTTCTAGTGCATGTACCGCCCTCAAATTTTTTCAGGAGAATCCTTAGGAGTGAAGCTTTAGTTTACAAATCATATTTTTTTCAGAACATCTGTTCTACGGAAATTTTTCGACATTAGATTCTCATACAATCACTGTAATTTCTCACGCGTTTGCCTACTCGTCAAGATGGCGTCGAAAACCGTGAGAAGGTCTATTAGATTATAAACAATCAGGCGTCTTAAGGGGGAGGCATGGGGAGGGCACATATCATGCTTTTCATGCACAGATCTATTTATTGTTATATTCCTAGACTTTGACTCAACTAAACATGTACAGAGACTGCCATTGGTTGATTCTTGGTCACGTGGCCTTGAGTAAAATCAAATGTATCCTGATACATTACAGCACGTGATCAAAGCATGGTGGAAAGTGGAGTGACAGAAGTCGGGAAAACGACTGCCAGTTTTCACTGATGTTTCCTGATGTTTCGGGAAAACAAAACTAACTGTTTCCCTCGGAATTTGACATTAAGTGTATAATATTTACCCCATATCCTTGCCCCGATGAGCCAAATCCCATTTCCCAAAATTCGTCCAAAATTAGGCAATTAACCCTCTTTCTGAAGACTCATGTAGAGCTCTTCAGCACAAAACAGACAAATCAGGGATCGTAAACGGAAATTCCTTGGATGGGTGATCCGTGGTAGCATCAAGAAATGTTTGATGTAGGTTTAAAATTATTGTTTCAGTGTTGTGCGTGCATGCAGTAGTCAATCAAGGTTGTTTATTTTTAGGCGGGACCAGCGGGCCGTGACACGATTAAAGAGGAAAAAGGAGACTCAAATTTGTGCGTGTATATTGTCAGCAAGTAATCACTTGATTTTTCTCGAGCAATTTAGCATAAATCAGAACTCTCAAATATTTCGACGGCTACAAAGTGGTCTTTGAAAAGTTTACTTGCGCTGATTTATTCGAATTTATCGAAAATTGCACTCTAAATCTTGTGAATACCTATGTTAATTAAAAGAGTTCCACACCAAAAGACGTAGGTTAGACAAGTCTAATATGTAAATCGTGCATAAATGTAGAAACATCACAACATCCTTGCAACAAAGCAAGTGCTGTTTCCAGCAAAATTTAATATATATATAACAACCAAATGAATCCTTTCTCCACATTTCTCTGCCGGAAACGTATGCGGCGGTGCAGGGGGAGCAGGGGCAAGTGGGGGAGGAGAGCCCCCCCCCCCCCCCCCCCCCCTCCCGCCGG